CAGTCCTTGTTATACCCATTAATGCCGAGCGCCAGGCAGGGACCAACAAGTACCATATTTTAACGTCTTTTGGTATGACGCGGTCGGGGATCGAACCCGCGACCTTCCGCTCTCCGGGCGGACGCTCTAACCACTACACCACGGAGGCGGTCCGGACGTATCAGAGAGACACCGTGCCCTGTCACGCACGATGCCACGACAAGAGTTTAATGTTCTGTGTGCTGAGACGGTAACTTCTATGTTTGCAAAGGTCTTGATTGACAGCAGATTGAGAGACTGTTGTCTCCGTAAACATTCAACTAAAAGTGAACCACTACGGAGACGAGTAACATTCTTGACCTCCCCACAAATTCCAGAAATAGCCTTTGAAATGGCGAAAGGATTTAGTTTGATAGGAAGAAAATCTGCAGCTTCTATTACCAAAAACCGAGTCCAAGAATCATCAGTTATATTTGTTTGGTCACTTGATTGATCTATGTCGTCAATACGCCGTTTCTTTTCATGGCGAGATGAACCAGCTTGTTGTTGTGACATGATGAAAGGAATGTGATTCGGCACCCCTGCTCCCACGCAAGGACTAGAAATTTGAGAATTGATTTTTAGTGCATTTGATGAACACATTATAGATGAATTTGGACTAGACTTAAATGGAGCTGAATATTGAACTTAAGCCACGAACTGAACCTACCTCATGAGAGATCAACAAAGGATAGATAGGACAAATAATTTTGGAGTCAAACTTATCGACAGTGTCATTGCCCCGTAAAGTTCTCATTCAAGACCACAATTCCCCAGACAGATATGCAAACACATCCAAAAGGTAATGAGAAATCAGATAGAAATCCATTTTGAAGTAGAAAACCGAAACGATATGACTCTGATTTATCCTTCACATTTCAAAACAACATCAATCAAGTGATATCGGGAATGTGCTTATTATTTGCCAGCCTGTACAACATTTGGAGAAAAGAAATAATAAAATTAAATGCAGCACCCACCACGGAGTGTCAACACGGACATTGTCTAATAGCACCGGATATCCAGCATGCAAACACCAGGGATACAAGGGTGATATACTCCAGTAAATACGACATAAATAGCTATATCTGTCTACCAAATATAATGTCAGGCTGGTTCGGCTCTAACAAAAACTTGGAGACAAACAGAATTTAGAGGTCGACATCACCAGATTGGCCCATGAGCCACCGCCTTCTGGCATAGGACTCTAGGCAATAAATTTAACAATAATTTGTATACTAGACAATCAAAATTACCAATACCCAATACTTCAAATGTGCAAAAATACTTTCTATGCACAGGGCATGGCGTGACCAGCCGATTGATAGAACCGGGCCAGTTCTACCACCCGTCTAGGTGAAGTAAGGGGCGTAGTGATAGTTGGGCAAAAGGAACACGGTTCCAGGCTCCCAGTGCCCTCAACCACCAGACTCCCGTCCTCCACCGACACAGGGGCGCAACCCACGGCAAACGGGTTGGTGGACCAAATATACCCCCGGGTCCACAACGGGGGTTGAAGAGCGCTTAGCGTTACCCAGCACCCACCACGAGGAGGTGGCTCTTCACGGGTGCCTAATATATTTAGAACTGGTGACAAGGACATAAATGCGTATTAGAAAGGGAAGTGAAATAGTCGCGGATTTGGTAAATTTGATTTTGAAGAATGTACCTCGAACGCTTTGTATCACCAACCTACCAGTAAAACCAGCAACCTAACTGTAAAACCAATGAAATATTCTCCCAAATGTAATGCCATAGTAGAGCCACAGGATTCACATACGCGGGACATAATGGTATCAATATTTCAGATCAATGTCTCGCCTTGTGTCAACTGTTCCATGAAAGGAGGTCACCTAAAGTTCTTCAACTTAGCACTGTAAATAAGAATCTGAAATCAATAATGTTCACATTAGAGCAACTTACATTCAATGCATCTGATTCTTAGGCAGTGCGTGCTTAAGATAATAGAACGCTGCAACAGTTGGGCCACTCATCAAGCTTGACCAAGTGAAATATCACTATGGAATATCATTTTACTACAAACATCGTATGAGAAAATTATACCATTTTGTAAGATTTCTAATTCAAGGAGATCAAACGGGCGCAATAACAGGATGTGTGTAACTAATTGTATTTTCTATTCAGTGGCAATGTTTCAACCAGATTCAACGGTGAACAATAAGGAATGACAAATATAGACACTGGCGGTACGGCATATACATTCAGAGTATATTAAATTTTCTCACAAGGCCGACCACCAATAACCCTCAGGAAGCCAACGGGAAACAAATGCCATACCTTCACGTGCGACAAGCCAAATTATAAAAAAAGGTGGTCAATTTGGAAATTATGTTAATTTGTTTAATAGAAAGATATTCACTAAGTTCCAATGACGATACGTTTACTTGAGAAAAATGTCTAACTTTACGGTCGGAGATAGTGTAGTTTTTTATGAAAATTACTGTGGTTTACATTTGCAGCAAATAAAATATTTTTCTTGGTCTTTGCGTCAGTGAATTCCACCATTACCAAGAAAATGGGTTATCTGGTAAAATGTATCATTTTATTAAAAGCTTGAGCGTTATTTGCTTGAGAAAAATCTGCTGATGGTTGTTCTTTTTACTACGTTGCAATAGTTCGTGGCAATACACCTTGCTTGACATAAACAATAGCCATATACCTCGGGCAAATTGGTGATCAACGTCAATGTAATGTATATCAAACTAGTAATCTATTAAGCATGCATTTCTGGAACGTTAGATGTCATTTTACAGCACTGAAAATTGAACGTTATCATGTTACCTAAGAACATAATGCTTATAATAAGAGGTCACTATTATAAGTTACCCATTTGTTAATCGTTGCCTTGACTGTTAGCATTTTCACAATGTCTCTCAGATAATGCAGTCAGTAGGTTTGAAAGTGGAACTTTGATAATAACATTAGTTGTATTCAACATTTTCTTATCGGTGTCATTTGTAATTTAAATGGGTGTTATGTTAAATGTTTAATGCCACTTTCGATCACAGTGTCATGAAATAATTTGATTCTAAAGTTTACTTTGAGTATGGGGTCTTTGAATGGTACTTTGAAGTGATACAGATAAAGAGTAAAAATGTATGGATGTCATCTTCTGTAATGAGAGGGACACGACTTTTCGAAGTATATTTCTTACATCTTGATCGGGCGAGTGGGTGAGTGAGTTTAGTTTTACCTGGTTCTTCAGCATGACGAGTGAACGCCTCAACCACAAGGCTACCTCATCGGCCTCCTTCAGTGGGTGATAAAAACTACGAAGGAGATCGCTGCATAAGTACATGTGAAACAATAGTGATTAGATGGTGGGCATTTAACAAGGGAAGCCAGTAGTTAACATCTTCCCTTTAAACGCATTCCCTTCCTTGACATGTCCATCAAAACTACAGAAAATGGACTGAGAACATTTGTTTACTGCAACCCTATACACATATATCCATTACAACTATACCCCAAGATAAAACAAGCACCATCACCATCCTCACAACACATGTCAAAGCGATTTGCCTTCTTTCAGTAGCGAACTGGGCCATCTGAAAAACACCTTCTCTTCACTCATTTGTTACAAAGCCCACCTCGTCTCTAAACCAATCAACAAGACTTCCAAGCCAAGACCCAAACCTGCCCCATTGCCCATTAGTAGCACCATTCCCCATATCTAGGCCCTGTCAGCCGTCAGATTTTCCGCCTCATGAAAAACAACACCAGCACAGATGTCACCTTTTCCAGCGACAAGCCTACCAAGGCTCTCCTGCCCGCCAATGGTAGAGACACCAACAGCTCAAGCCCGAACAGAGAATGCATACACAGGTCCCCTGACGTTGTAGCCGCACATGCATTGGTGAAACCCTTAGACCCCTGAACGCCAGACTCAAACAACGCCAGACATATGTCAACAAATTCGACTTGAAATCAGTCATTTCCAAACACATCTTCAAAAACTAGGATCACACCATGATATGGGATGCTACTACTCCTGTCTGCTAACAACAACTTGCACCAAAGGAAGCTGCAAGATGCAACAGACATTAGGAGATCCAAACCAGCTAAAAACCGTGACCAGGGAGCATACACCCCGAGCGTTTGTGACTTTTAATTTGATTATCTCTACTGGCTTCCATGACTTCACTATCGCCTATCAGTTTTGTTACCCCCTTTTGTCCATTACCTATCAGTGTTTGAGAACCCATCAGGACTAATTACGCCTGGATAAACTCCTGACTTCTAGTAGCTTATTGCCATTAACATTCAGCATCAATTAACTACTGACATACCTTAAGTGCCCACCATAGTCATCTAAACACAATTGTTCTTTCACATGTACTTATATTGCTATCTGATTCGTAGTTTTTCACCCGATGAAGGAAAAGAATATACTACAAAATGTCGTGCCGCCCATATTACAGAAGTTGACATCAATAAATGTTCACTTGTCACTATAAGTATGCCACTACGTGAGATTAAAACATGTTTACAGGAGATGCCTATCTTTTTTTGCAGATTCATTACACATTATTAGTCATTAAGCAGAAAATGACTGGATCGTGATCATGTTGTTACAATGAATACATCTCTAGTTACAAAAACTCCGACTGCAAAACTGAATAGTCAAATGAAGACATATGACGCCATATTGCTGTAAAAAAAGAGAGTGATTCCACTGCAGGTTGTATCAGGCTGCCAGCACTTTTCATTCCTTTGAGACAGATAACCCTGAAATCACTGGTAGAACCATTGTTATTCAATCACTTTCCCATTCCAAATCACAAAGATTATAATGACTCGGTAAGATTAACTGTTTGCCCCAGACTGTATGCAGTGGGTGTTGTCCTTGGGTGCTGATGTTTTATCTAAACTTAGATTCAGCTTGATATATTTATTCTCTAATCTCTGTAACTATAAGCTTGTTGTTTTGATCCTTTAGATGTTAACCAGTACATATGCACATGTGTTGCTTTCCAGGCATCCGGTTGCTGTCGTCCTTGAGCATGTCTCACTGACTGATTCCGATTTTGCCCTTAAGTTCAGATGAATGGTGCAGGCGTATCTTCATATCAGAACAACAAATCCCAAATACAATTAATATATTTTGTACATCAAGGCTAGAGCTAATGGAAATTAAGATTAATTCCGCAACCCCTTTCCTTGAGCACCACGAATCGGTCATCTTTTGTCTCTGGGCTGTTTGTACTGCAACACCTAACCGTCTATTACTAAAAGTTACATACAGCATTCGGACATGCGTACTGGGACAGAAACACATAAATTGACATTTAACAGTATTTTCCTGTAAGAACTATAAAGGGCATTTTTATGTCGCGGGATGTATTTGCTAGAGTTTTTATCAGGTAAAAGATACCAGATGGAGTGTAAAACGTCCTTATAATCAAATTCCCTAGTCCGCCGTGCAACGATCAAGAAACTTTAAACAGCCTTAACACCTTCTTCCTGTCCTTAATGACACAGAGTATCATTATCCTTGAATATTACAGACAAAACCTAACCCGTGAATTATACCTTTCTTGTGATGTTATTAGTTATTAGAAGACATATTATATTCCCAGAGGAACACTTACTAAAGTACATATTCCCAGAGGAACATGTACAAAAGTACATAATCTTGATCTTAAAATGGTAGAAACTGGACATCATTTCGACTAAACCTATATTTTGTGTTTGAAATTAGTAAAATATGTTAAATCATGTCTTGCCTAGAAATATACCACATGACCAAAAATATTAACCCCTTAGATTATAGTATTACTTATGTGCTTCATGAATATATTGTCATTTATACATACTACATAATCGGATATGATGATTGTTTGGATAATGTTAGTGAGTAAGGAGAATTCTACTCACTTTTCAATTTCACTTTGTATTATCACAGCTTTCTGTGAAAGGAAGATTTGCAAGGTCGCAGGCATTTTTGGGCATTACCTCTTTGACAAAACCTATTAGTAAGAACATGAACCCATAACCGCCGCAACATTGCACAGTGAAATGAGTTTTGTTCTCACCAATGAATTATCAGTGAACACCCTTACCGGATGTCTACTGAGTGAACTTAACATGTATGGGATTAAAGTTCACTGCTCTTACGAGGCATTTTGACGTTGTTTGTTGGCTTCTTTGATGCTAAACTTGCATATTATACTTGCTATATCGTTACTATTAAGATTCGCCTTATTCTATTTACAGATCGTCTTGCCCGCGACTTGTCGAAAGTCATTGATTGACAGTTGAAAGGAATCAAACAGCAAAATATTTTAACGTTTTTCGGTATGAGTGGTTGTTGTTGCTGTTTAACGCCGCACTCAGCAATATTCCAGCCATATGGCAGTCTGTAAATAATCGAGTCTGCACCAGACAGTCCAGTGATCAACACTATTGGTGTACGGTGACATGTCAACCAAAGTAGCCAGCCTGACCACCCGATCCCGTCAGTCGCCTCTTTCGACAAGCATGGGTTGTTGAAGACCAATTCTAACCCGGATCTTCACGGTTATCTTTAACGTTGTAGTTGATAGAGACCTGTGGACTGACTGAATCTACAAAGTAATAAACACTATATCTATTGTATGCTTTTATTACATGACTCATATGAGAGATCGACTGCGTTTATTGCACCGTTTCTACAATAGGCACCTCGCTTACCTAAAATAACCTGTTAAAAATGTCATAATTTCAAAATATCAAAAGTACAGAGTGATGGGAATGAAGTTACAGTTGGAAGTTTTGTAAAAATATTTAACGTTTGTAACTTCGGTAAAAATAGAAATGTCTGGATAATAAATAATAACGATGACATAGTCCGCGGATTCTATCATCTCTGATATCAATTAGATGAAATTATGTTCATCCAAAACCATTTGATATCCGTAATTGGACTTTATGTTGTACAATGTGATGGAAGTGTACATACACTAACTTTCAAAGACATATGCATTTTATCGATACTCAAGGTTAATATTTAAAGTCAATTGGCTTCATACATGTTAGTTAGTTTTACGGCGCTTTTAGCAATATACAAGCAATATCACGGCGGGTTTCATACGAAGTTAGCCGGTTAGCAGATGTAAATCATTATGAAACCTCTGAGATGAGCTTGCTCGTGGTATAAACCGACATCAACCTAAGCCAACATACCGCTGTCAAACCTGCCCCATCGCCCATCAGAATCATCTCAATACCTAGGCCCTGTCAGTTATCAGATCTAGAAAAAATTATATCAATACATTTCTTTGCACTGTAAAATACACTTCTTTTATTAAACGTTGTCACATTTTAAACCTCGTGGTTTCAAATTAAACCAAGTACCGGGAGAAATTCCAGTTCAACCTGAGAGCAGACACCTGTAATTGTACTACGTAATTGCTCAGAGCAGAGTTAAGTGTGATTATTGACACAGAACACCGGTGTTACTCTTAAACATGAGCCTTCAGTCATTTATTGTGTTTCCAAACTAGGTCCGGGCTTTACGATTAGGCCCAGTACACCTCATTAACTGAATGAGTTAGGTTTGACTGAAATCAATTTAGATCATACAGCTGAGTTATATGACCTGTAACATAAAGGTCTGAGCGACCGCATTAAAACCGCCAGGGGCTTGTGACATTTTCTAAAGTACTTCTCGCCGTATAGAATTAGTTCATAAGCAAGACATCGACACAAATTCACAAACCGAACTCTCCTAGGCTTACGAAAGCACGCGCTGGAGCAATATAACTGTAAGTTCCATGTAGAGGTTTAATCTTGCTTGTCTTCCCTCCTGACCTTACAATCTTAGCGACGAACGATTTGATATTCTTGGGGAGGGCATGTACTGTGATTTTCAGTTGAAGCTAAATATTCCTTTCAGATTCAACAGCAGAACCAGATATTCGTTTACCTAAAAATATCAGCTTAAATTATTATTTTTAACAAGCGTCGTCGTAAGAGGCGACTAACTGGATCGGGGGGTCAGTCTCACTGACTTGGTTGACACATGTAATCGTACCCTTATTGCGTAGATCGATGCGCATGCTGTTGATTAGTTGATTGTCAAGAATAGATTATTCACAGACCATATAGCTGGAATATTGCTGAGTGCGGTTTAAAAGTAAACTCACTCACTCACTCATTATCTACAGTGTTTAAGAACTTAAGAAATATTACACAAAATGACATGACAACAAAAGTTTGTCAAAGGGTTAACCTACTTAAAAATAACTATTTCCTACTTCCCAATTCGTGTGAAAAGCAATATATTCCATATCCCATTAATTATTATGCTAAATTCAACAAACATCACACTGCGACAGCAAGAAAGTTTAATCAAGTCTATGGGATTACAGAAGCTGATTTTTCTGTGTGGAACAGTCGACTGCTTTAACAGATCTGTGAAAATTATGTTGTGTCACGTCATATGCCACTTCAACCTTGGAAACATTTCATTTCAACGTATTTTTGCTGTGGCGAAATTTCACCTTCTCAATTGTTCGACACGGTAACGGTGTAATGCCCGAAACATTCCCTTTAGGCATTTGCATTGATCGCCAACTTCTCTTGATTTGTCCGTTGCAGAGTCGGTTACAAAGAAGTGTTTCGGCCGCAGCAGCAGAGTCAATGCACTTGTACGCAACAAAAGTAATTCAAAGCTGACATCTCGGTTTGCGTCTCATCAAAGTCAGTAAACAGGGTGGATTGTCTGGTTAACACTACGAACACGAAACGCGTCTCAACCGTTCATTGATTCTGTGTTAATTTTGATGTTGTTGCTTTAAATGGTGTCAGTCGTGTATCAATATCTTAATGCATTAGATTCTATGTGATGGGTTACCATTGCCTAACGTTTCCAAACCCAAAGAAGCACGTGTTGATAATATACAATCCATACAATGTTGTGTGTATTATTCCGTCATTATCACCGTCATATCAGAACAACTCTTTCTTCATCCATGATTGAAGGTAGTACGTTTGTGAGGATTAAAATACTCGACATTGGCGACTGGTCAAATTATGAAATGCAATTATTGCAATGACAATTGGCCGTGTTTCTGACATTTATTTGACATACTCACCATACGATATTTGAGTTTAACTTCGTTAAATATCGATAATAAGACCACTGTGTCACCTAATCTGAAACAAGATAATACAGATAATGTTCCCAAAGGACCTATACACTTCGTGCAAATACATGAAAGGTTTGAAATTGACAAACGACATCGTCTTCCGTTCTATATGAAACATTTGAAATCTAGTTTACTTGACACGGCAAGCATAAACAAGTACAAACTGAAGATGTTACATAACATGGGCTAATATATAACTGTCAGTCTTCTGCTATAAAATGTCAGTCTCTCCTGAGAGAGACATATGTTAGGCTGCTTGAGGGACGTACGTCTCATGTTGCACCAATAATTACATTCCTACACTGCCATTGCTTCAGTGCCATTTATTGCCCAGAAAGACATAGTCATCCTGTAGCATGTAAGACTGACAATAATAGATATTGTAAGACGTTAATAAGACAGCACACAAAGCCAGTAAAGGTGAAGTACAACTGGACAACAAATACCTCTTTGACTGCTGCCCAGGACATTGACTACATTGACTTTTTTTTGTAAAAAAACCTACAAACCCGGATGCGTTTCAACTGGCCTCAGCGTCAACAAAATATGATATTGTTCAACAAACTGTCTGCAGTATTCCAGCTTCATGTCCCCATCTGTTCAGACGTGAATATGTCCATCAAATTCCGATTTATTCTTACTTTGAGATATGGCTTCATGTTTTATGTGGCGTTGGGAGATTGTCCTGGAGGATGGATATGGAACAATACAAAATTCTATTAGTATTATGAGGTAATCGAATTTATTATTATCCAATCCAGTGAGTGATATCATGAACAATCTCGAGTCTGGGAAGTAGACAAGGTTGATATGCAAAAACAACCAATGTTAGAAGTCCTGCTTTATTTCAGATTACCTTAGAACTTGAGATATTTTAAACCTGAATCACGGCAGGTGATAACCGCACATTGGTCATCAACTGCAAATTAATCATTTCAAATCTGCTTTATCACTATGTCATAACTGGAGGTTTCCAATACTTGCGTACAGATATACGTCGGTATTGAAATGACATTTTCAAATATCTCCTCATTCATCATTCTATTTGTGTGACCAATATTTGCTGAGTATGTAATTGAGCCATCACATGGTGAATTGGCTGCGTAAAGAAGATCCACCAATTCCAGTATCTTAATCTGCTTCGTCTGTTCATTACCGGAGACATTACTTCCATCTTATATCATTAACTCAGTTTTAAGTAACCGCAATGAGGAATGTTTTCGCTATTTCTATGTCTGACTGCCTCGAGTACAGACCAGAAATGTGGCTATCCATCAATCAGAAACTCGTATTAAATTGGCTAAATGAAAACAATACGTTATGTTCCTCTGTTGCATGGCGTTTTAATTCCATACACCTTTTATCTAATAGATCCATTAATATGTGCTTCTTTACCATGGCGAGTTTGTCGCTCCTGTTTTGAATAAACACGTTTAGTAAGGGGTCTGGGTTGACATTACATTATCACAATCATGTCTAATTGTCATTTTGAGTTTGATGCACAGCTCGATGTCACAAGCATTATTATATTCTGTATGTGTCACGTGGTCCTGTATGAGGCACGCAGGTGATACATCATGAAGTTTCTCTCGTTTGAGGTGAACTTTTCCAAACCAAATATACCGATCAAATATGTGACATAATTTATATTGTGAAATGCTCATACACTCCTTCTTTTTTGACATTTCTATTACCATTTGTAATGTGTTTTCGTATCTGTTCGGAGGATAAGTAAACCACCAAACATACCTTTTGCAAAAGATTGCCTGCAGTTTTACTTTTCAAATTTCTCGATACTGTGGTATTTGCTATAATGCCGTTACACATACATTTTAATCTTTGTGGAAATCGCCAACTATATGCAGTTTGTAACATTCTTGTTTGGAGGCCTTTTTTATACCAATGTCTGTCAGGACTATGAATTATAGGTGGCATAGATCCAGCTGTTGAACTGTTCGCTGGGCAGTGTCTGTCTTTCTGATATACATCTTGCGACTGCGACTTTAGAAATGGGTTAATTGCTACGTGTTTCTTAAAATGTTCACAGCTTGAGTAAAATAACCATAATAATATCAACTCTAGGTAATGTAGAAATATATGTAAGAGTAAGTATGGGTTTTCACTGCTTTTAGTATATTTCAGCAATATCAGGCCAGGTCACCAGAAATGGGCTTAAGATACTGCATGCATGTTGGGAATCGAACCCGTGTCTTCAGCGTGACACAGTCACCAGTTTACCCAACCACTAGTAGACAAGACACATGTGAGGTCGTAAAGAATTTCGAGTTGCCCTCTAATGTAGGTACAGTCAGCATTTTAGAAACTGTAACATGCCGAAACGTCTCGAGCGATCAAGCTTGTTTGTCAAGAACCACCCGAGGTGACCCTGATCACAATTCCTGCTACAATGTGGCTGCTATGGCACTCCATATTCTTCCAAGGAACTTCCTGTCACTGACAATCAGTTAAAATGAGCTTATTTATCTCGATTCTTCTAAGACGAGGCTTTTTGAGCCACAAGGGTTTTGATGACTGTATATGATGTTCCCTCTTCAACGAGATAAGTTATATACTGAACCTAAACTCATCATTTAATACTTTTATTGAGAACACACCTGTTTACGTTCAAAACGTTTATAGTATACCCAAACCTTCTATTGCAGGCGGGAGTGCGGTTAGTTCAGTGACTGCAAATCGTCGCGCAGAGTTGCTTTCATTTCGCAAAATAGAAATATTTTATATTGTGTTCCTCGTTTGCCGTCATGTCTGGATTTCTCTGCAATATACTGTCCTCCTGCTTTTCACTTAAGTGTTGAACAACATCACTTCGGGACCAACATCACTTTGGGATACATATCAAGATGATATTATAATATAATCCAACTGAAATATTATATTCTACGTTAAAACTGTATCCAAACCACTGAATGAGTCATAAATAGTCTCTTTGTGGACAATTTTCTAATGTTTTGACCGGTGAAGGTCCGGGTTACAATTGGTCTTTAGCTTGTTGTTAGGGGTGACTAATGGGATCAGGTGATCAGGCTCGCTGACTTGGTTGACACATGTCACCGTATCCCAACTGTGTAGATCGATGCTCATGTCGTGGATAACTGGATTGTCTGGTCCAGATTCGATTATTTACCGACCGAAGCCATAAAGCTGGAATCAATTAATGACTGCGACAAACAACATGACAGACGATCTGTGAATTGAAGAGGGTAAACATTTACAATAACTATAAAACAAGTATAAAAAGAAAATTTAAGATGATTGAAGAATAGTTCTATATAACGTTTTACACATTTAATTTCATACATCCAGAATACACCTTATAGATGTTGATGTACACCAACAGCATCACACCATATTGGCATGTTGTCATTGGACACACAGGCGTGTTCAGGCCTCAGGTCTGTGCATGATTTAAAACAGTGTATAAAAAGCTTTGTTCTTTATAAACCTTCGTACACGCTGGACTGTAAGTTAAAGAATATCTCATTGCTTGGCATTACCTTCTAGCATTTTCATTTTTTGTCACAGAATAGTTGTGGTAATCATTTTAAACATAGGTGCTGTTATTAACCTTACTTCCTCAATCCAACAAATCTGTGCCTCATGTTTTGGCCTTTATATGCCACATCTTCTTAAGTTATCCACAAACGTATTTCGACAAGTATGACAGCGTCTAGTCCGAAGGTTAAGGGATTCAGAACAGTCGTTTGTAAACACTCGTAACGTAGGATATCAACTGTCATACAAAACACTGACCTTTAAACGCGGTTTCAATGTTTAGCAGCAGTTCGAAGGTTGTTGCTGTGGGCAATATTGCAACTATTTCGCGGACAATTCTCAAAGCCAAAGGAAGACTTTTCTCTCTCAGCCTTTTTCGCTTTGCCTGCTCATCGTCTAACTCTTTTTATAGGCAAATATGGTGCATCTTCAGAAGCCCTCGTGATTATATCCCTAGGGTTTCTACAAACGTCATTACCCATGACTTTGGAACTCCCCTTTGTTACCTACTGCTGTTAGGGTGAAATTCGTTCACCAGCTCTACACTCTACATTGACATATTTCTAATACTTGTCTGGGTGTCGACAATTCTATGGCACATTACAAGATGATTGAGACTGTGACCTCCGAGCAACGTATCCCGCTGATATGGAAAACATTATCGTTTTGAGTCAATGAAATTATCTTTATAACCATCAGCAATAATACAGATTTATCAGGACTGTCGGTAAATATCTTGAACCAGACAAAATATTGCATTATCAATGCTGCATCCCATACGGTTACGGTGACCTAGTGTGAACGAAGTCACACACTATTGTCCCTCATTTACTGATCCTTTGGGAGACATATTCAAACACAGCATTATAGGGAGTTTACATCCCTATGAACATACAACATGGGTGTACCAGTATGCCTGCTACAAATAATCATGGAAATATAACAGATCTATTTGAATGAAAATATCAAAAACGTTGCTGTTTCATCATTTGAATTTATGGGTACAACCTTCATGATAAAGAAAACTTTTCTTTCGAAATACACATTTTATGGATTTTGTAAAGAAATTACACCAATATAAGCCATACCTCGGCTTTTTTATATAGCAGGAAAAACACACATGTAGTAATTCCAAAATGATCGTTGGTATGTCTTTTACTTCTGTTGATTGGGAATTAGATTTACATAAACACATACGTGATTTGCGCCAGGTTGAAGTATGAGCATCATTCATCGTTGTACAGTGATTTAAGACGATCGTGTCGCTGCGTGCTGTGTGCTTAATGTGTGCAAAGATTCAGTGATGTGATTCAAGCGAAGATTATGACTCATTATGAACCTCGTTATGTGAACACCATAATCTTGCGCATGTGTTTTCATCAAATTGGTAATCATCACAATACGTGGTACCTGACTCTGAGGATGTGGGTTTTAATCTCGGATGGGACTCAACCCAACAAAAGAACTACAACAAGAATCTGAAGTGTAACCCCGAATATAACATTTGTTACAATAAGTGTCAGTTTGAACAAACCTGGAATTTATTTCTTATCATGGCCACATGAGTGCATACAAAATAATACAATAAATGCAAAACCTCGGGAAATTTCCAAACAAAAATAGTTATGGTATTATGAATCGAAATTGAAGAACCAGACGTGATCTTGAATTCCTCAATCCAAATTATATTGTGAATAAATAACTTTTCAAATATTTCCCTCCCTTGTGCTTCATCGTAAGCATTGAGTATGTACATTTGTGGCGAAGCATACTGCTGCTTTGAGGTTCTAAATCATGATCATGTTAACGAGATGATTTCTTCCTCCGGAAGGAGGATGCAGATGTGGTTCGTGAGTAAACAGAATTATTGGACGTAGTTCCAGAAACGTTTTTCTTTGATGACTTTAACAAGGTCACATATTGCCATAACGGATTCATTCATACACTGCCAGAAACGTAAGTTGAGACCTGTTCTGAGATCCATTCGAAACTGATGTATGATACATTTATTAGGCGGATGATATTTTCACAGTTTCGAGTGTATAATTTTTTTAGGTTTCTTCTGTGAACTAAATTGTCAAAATTGTCATATGTCTTATTTTAACATCAAAAGAGACATTGTCATTCTGGTTCAGACATATTTCTTTCTGTTAGGGGATCACAATATTTTGAAGTCACTGGGTTCAGGTGTTCGGGAAATTCCAAATGATGTATCATATCTTAATCAAACAACATACATGTACGTCATTTATAAGAGGAGGCTCACATATGAAATCCTGACCCTGTTTCAGCACACAATCACAGATCTTACATAACGCTTTTATGCACACAAATACTGTTTCTTAAATAGAATGATGTTTTTAGCTGTCTGAGAATTAAAGGTTCACATTCCATGGAGCTTAATCAGTCAAAGAGATCTTTCTCATGGAGTATACATTAAGAGGGTCGAATTCAGAAAGAAAATACTTCTTTTCCAGCGGTACGTGGATTATTTGTACTTGATATTGATAAGGAAGGCTTTGGTTGGCCTCAAACATCAAACAGGTATTCGCAAGACGGCATATCGTTGTGTGACTGCTAAGCGGACCCCAGGACAGGATTTCAATAACTCTAATATGTCGAGCCCTAAAAAGACATCGAATTTTATTTTCGTATTTCTAATTTCCCAAGGGACGGATGTATTGTGTAACTCGGGGAAAATTAAAATCACATCCCCACCCCTCAAGAAAAGCGCAGACTAAGAGGAACGTACAATTAGAAGCATTTGATTTCAATGAAAACTTGAAATCCTGTGTTTACTATGATGAAACGTTAATATGTGAATAATTATTCACCCTTGGGTTATGGAAATATTTAATTTAGGGAGTTCCATATTTAGTTACATTCAAAACAGCAAGGTTGCAAGAATACAACAATGTTCTTTGCATCATTTTGCATATCTGTTCTGTGAGAAATTATGAATCATGCGGGTGCAATTGGGAACACATGGTTTATAATGCATTATTGCAATCGTCCATCCGTCAGTTCAATTGGCACATATAATGGATGTGCAAAGAATCGGTTTGACAGGTGTACCATCTTCATTCTAAGTAGGTGTCATTTACCTCCTTGTTAGACACACTTGACGTTTTCTAATGATAGGACCACGAAAGTCAGTTGATGAAAGTGGTAAGCCGATTTGCGTCTCCGAAACCCTTCCGTATCATCTGAATGGTGTTTCGGGTTCCTAATTGTGACCATTCATTTTCAACAGGTTTTTTGCATGTGTCGTATATTTCTGTTAAGTGCGTCATTTCTAGCCTTCGACCAACCTGACTTAAGAAGTAAAGATTGTTCTTCCCAGGCGTCTTCTGTAATTAAATACAGCAGCTTTGTCATTACCTGTACTTTGACGTTAAATTGTTCTAAGCAAAACTGTGCTTATGTCCACTGGAGGTGATTCCATAATCCCATAATACACAATACTTAGGATTTACATTAAGGGTTGAGTTTATTCATGTGAATATAGCAGAAGTTCTGTGTCGCTGAAAATGGTGTGTCTTTGGTGTTTTGTTATAAAAATCACAATTTCGTGTCCACCGCTAACGGCAGAAGACAAGAAAACGTTAATACGACAAACATACGTGAACGAAATGCTGAACACATAACAGTTGTATTCTCACAGTCTGTAAGTTTACAAATCACTACAAAGGAATTCTCCCAGCACAAAATAGAGTTGCATTACATATTCCACGTCAGTACAAATGCTCTGGCAATATTTAATAAAAGCAATGATTACAGCAGTGAAGTGTTGATAACAATCACTGAGCTTCTACAGTAATCAAGTTTCCTAAATAGGCCAAGACTTGGAATCTTGGCTGAAATTTGATCTTCGCACAACTGCTGGTCCGGGGTACCAAATTCACCTTCAGACGACTTTGTAGGTGCTGTGATGCAGACAAATTGGTCTGAATATGTTTGAGACCCGCGGTATAAGAGATGGTTGTTATCATTCGGACATACTTCTTCCCTGGGAATGATATTCAATTACTTGACAAGTTCGAAGAAACTATTTCACTGGCGGATAATTGATGTGTCTCCGCCATCTTGATTGACGGTAATGACAGAACACTGTTGCAAATGATACTTAAGATCTCTTGAACAGTGTTGAGGACGTGTTCAGATATTACAGACGCACATATCGCTGACCGCATTGTCACAATTCTTAATTAACTGTCACATAAGATATATCAGAACATGTATATAACTGTAGCTACCTACGTAATATGACATAAATGAATCAAGTTGAGTGCCTCCACAACGCCCACTATAAAGAGTAATCCACGGTCATGATGTATAGAATGACCACTGTAGTCACTGATGGTAAGACTTCCAATGCCATAACAAAATTTGAGTTTGGCTTCATTTTCTCCCAGGAAAATATTGACGTCATTATCAGACAAACATATGTACATACTTCTTGACGGTCTTAATACTGGATGGCTTCGTAATTGGCTTAAGAACGGGCGACTTGTAGTACTTTAGACATATTCCTTACCAAACTGGCGGAATGTAATAAGACTTGACTTGATCCTTAATTGAAAATTAGGTTGGAGAGACAGTAATGAAAGCAAGTTTAGGGTTTAATCCCTGTCTTATATTTCAAAAACATGTTTTGAAGATGAAAGATACGTGACATTAAAGTCGTCGTATTAGCATTAGTTTTAGCTTCGATGAAGAGCCGTGGGTCGCTGACTTCAGCTGACATTTTAAAACGAGTCATGTTTCCACTGTAATCCTTCCAGCCAATGCATAAACTCGTGTTACTTCCTTCTTCAAAAGAATATTGAGTAACAACCACTCGCTTGTGATGGTGCAGACTTCGGGAAAATTGCGTAGCACAGCATGGCAATTATCGACAGTTTTGATGTGGGAGACAAAGCCCGTAGTGGTGCCGGCCTGAGACGTTTAGCACTTCGGTGAAACACACGGGCGCGGGTGTGGTGCTGATGAACATGAAAACATACACCGGGATTATACACCACGATCATAAAATCCTGGCATTCCTAGGGACGCAATTCTGTGACAGACAACTGTGATACCCGTGACCCCTACATTGTCCGCAGAGCAGGCATGGATGTTCGTTGCTTGTTTGTTGTTTAACGCCACACTCAACAATATCCCTGCTATGTGGCGGTGGTCTGTAAATCTTCGAATCTAGACCAGACAATCCAGTGAGCATCGACTGCGCAACTTGGATAAGATGACACATGTGTCAACCAAGTCAGCGAGCGTGACCACGCAGTCCCATTAGTCGTCAGTTGCAGAAAGCATGGGTTGCTGAAGACCAACTCTAACCCGGATCTTCACGTAATCATTTTCTCCAGAATATGATTTGACTGACGAAATGCAATGCAATAGAAGCATCCCATCAAGCCATTTGGTAACATAGTAAATGATGCGGTGATTATCATTTGCTGTTCCTGATGGGCGTCTCGGTACAAATTGGACAATTCCATTGTTCTTTTTTTTTCACATAAAACACTGCTGATCTCCTGTGTACTCCTTCCCACTTCTCTCACACAATCTCATACACTTAATCTACGAACGTTCTAGAGACGCACGGGCATATTTCCTGCCTACAGACATCGTGTAGATAATCCCATAGCGGTCTCCCACTGATTATCGTTGTGTATTTAGCTTTTCATATTGATTTCGTTTCGGGGAGGAGTACGTTTTATACTTTGACTAATACCAATAGAGACCAGAACCTCAGTTGTAAGGAATTTGGATAGGTAAAGGGTAAATACACAGAAAATGTACTATCAGTAGTTCCATGTCCCTTCAAGAGTTCAAGATTAGTCATTATTATCAAGGTTTACGCAGTTCTTGGAGGATACCTGGATGACTGAACCTCTGTAGGAACTCCAGATGAAACAATGTCAACGCCAGAGTGAGTGAGTGAGTTAAAATGTATAGTCACATCGGCAGTATTTCAGCCATATTGTGACTTAAAAAGTTATAAATTAACAATAAACACAATTACATTATAAAACACCTGTCGACGAAGGACAGTAAAACAACTAGATTATCACAGGAAAAAATGTATGACTAGTAATTAAATCTAAAATATTTTACCTAGAAATGACAATACAATATAAAAACCGGCTATAGATTGCCAACAATTGAAGGTAGATCACCATACTAGGGACCATGGGTACTTACAGAACATTTGCTTCCTGCATGGGCCCTAGCTGGATTTACATCATACCTTCAGCTGTCAGTAATTTAGATACATCTATCCATATATTAAAATTACACACATTCTACGATTAAAAATAAGTGGAAAGTTTAAATTTACCTGGAATGTTTTGGAATTTACGTACCCTCTCAGGAGGACAATAATTTTACAGTACTTTAACCCCCCTCGAGGATACAGCCACTAACAATCTTAGTTACTAATTCAAACTCCCAATCATAAAATATTTATGTATTTACAAAT